GGATGTGCTCTTCTCTGGCCCTGGAACGCTCCCTGCCCACTCATTCCCTCATGTCCTGCAGGATTCTGATGACTTCCCTGGTCATGGCACCAAAATAGCTCTTTCTTCTCCATGTTATCTGATGCCATGTTATGTATGATGCATTTCCTTCTGTCTGACATAGTAGAAGATAATCTTCTCAGGGTCAGGGGCTTTGTCTTGTCCACTGCTGTACGTTTCTATTGTCTGAAATCTTGCCTGCCACATAGTTGGAGCTCGGGAATTATTTCTTGAAAGAGAGGATGAATAAACATAGTTGCAGAAGTGTTTCCTTACTGTTTGAGCAGGCCTCTTTCTTTTTCTAGGGAGTCCTTCTCTTTAGCCCTCCCCCTGCCTTCAGGCTCCCATAGATAACTTTATGTCAACTAAAATGCCCTTCAGTTGTTTTCTTTGTGCATTCAGTATCTGAGTTATCAGCACTCGGGTTCTCAGTCTCAGAGGTCAGGTTCCAGAGTGGCTGGTAGTGTCCTCTGTCACTAATCAAGGGGACATTGGAGCTGTTTACGCATGAATGGATCATGACAAGTTTACCTAACATTCAGAATCAGCATGGAGCAAGAGGGAGAATTTGATTTCAGGCCTCTTAAAAAAGTTATCTTCTGTACATTTTAATGGGCATTTTAATTTTAATAATTAGAGATCCTTTAATGGGGCTTATATATTATTTCTCTTTTTTAAACGTATAGCCTGAAAGCAACAATATTTGACCCTATGTGACTCAATTATAAATTGGCTATAAAATATTCTCAAACTTTATTTTTGTCTGAGACTGAAAGAAAAAAATATATATTGGCTGGGTAAAACATTATCAGTTAATTGTCACTGACTATATCTTTGTCACCAACAAAAGGATGCATTTCTTTTTCTTTTTTCTTTTTTTTTCTTTTTTTTTCTTTTTACTTTGGTTCAGAACACACTTCCTCAGACCGAGACCAAGACTTACTTGTCCTCGTAATAGCTGGATGGGTAGAGGTAGCTACCTATTGCCCACTGAACTTGTTTTCAATATCCTTGGATTATGTTTCATTGGTTTGCCATTTGCTATTTTAATCGACCTGATATTTCATGAAAAAAAATAAATCTGACTTAGAATCTTGCTCTTCCAATTACTTACGACCTTGGAAGAATTACTTCTTTTTTATTCCAATGATCCTATCTGTAAAAGCAGAAATAATATTTTCCTCAGGGATTGTTAGGAAAATTTAATGAGGTAACACACCTATTTGTGTCAGTGGAGTGCCTGGCACGGAGTAGGCATACAGAAGATATTGGTTGTTGTTATTAATACTTGAAGGCTATGTCATGATACTCTAGTAGTCCAAATAAATTAATGCTTTGGCTCTTGTGTTCAGACAGAACGTTTGAAAAAAGCAAATAGATCCTATGCAGTCACATTGCTAAGGGGCTATGAGGATTGACTAATGTCTTTCATCCCATGCCTGTCTACTTGAGGCATTTCCACAATCGATTACAAAACGCTATGTGCCCACAGGAAGTAGGACTCTGGCCTTTGAGACTCCCCATATTTTCCTTCTAAACAGAAGGACAAAAAGAGGGTGTGTTAAAAGGCATCAGAATTGGGAGAGAGATGGAGGAAAAGGCCTGCTCTTTGACAGGGACTTCACCATTAAAGAGAGCATGCCGCATGCCAGGCAGTCAGGAAGCCAAATCTTGTCCGGAGGCTGGAGGACCATCACTGTAACAGCCTCTAAAGGAGCAAGTGAGTACCAGTTAGCCAAAAGGACTCCTTTGATTTCTCATTCTGTCAATTCCTGGAGACATTTCCCCAGGTTGATAGAGTTTAGACGTTCAGTTTTCATGATTGCGGAGTGACCTGTGACTAGACATAGATAGTGCTTTTGAAAAAAAAAAAGTAAAGAGAATGAAGGAGTGTGAAAGACAGATTTTAAAAAGGAATAAAGGAGTCCTTACCTGGTTAGCATTCTCCCTCTGCTGCTGCTTGGTTGGTATTTTCTCTGAGGTGGTAAACAATAGCAATAGTGATAAATGCCTTATATTTCTTTAAAGAATTTGTCATTTGCCAGTGAGTGGAATTTGGGTGTTGTTGGTTAATGAGCGACCAACAGGATTTTTGTTACTTTACATAAAACCATAGTCATTAAACTTTTCTTCTCATTTTTCTCCATAATAACTTCCAAAATTCCTCCATTGCTAATTTTTATAGGGTCATGATAAATTAATTGAAAAAGCTATTCATACAGCATGACCCATTCCTTTCAAACAAGCAAAAAAAAAAAAAAATGCTGTGACTTGCTGTAATTCTGAACTCTATGTTTCTTTTATGCTCTTTGCTGAACTTTGGTTGCTGGAAATTAGACCATAGTATTCCTGGATCTCTAATGTTAGGATGTGATGAAATCAGTGAAATCCTCATTTATAAAATGTTAATGTGTGTGTGTGTGTGTGTGTGTGTGTGTGTGTGTGTGGTGTTTTCTGTGGCAGCAAGGGCCAAAACTTACATGTAGAAGGACAGAAGCAGAAAGGGAATTAGCATTTACTGAACATCTATTCTATGCCATGTTCAGCATTTGGTATTATGATGCCTATTTTAAAGATGGGAAAACAGAACTGGGCCAAGGTCACATGCCTACTAAGTGGCAGGGCATAGTTCAGTTGAGCTCTAAAGCATGGCTGTTGTCTGTACTACACTGTTCCCTTTTCTGCCTAGCTTGTTTGTTAACTATATCATAGGAACCTTCTACTCAACTGCTGTAGCTGACCCCGTCCTAGTGGCCAGAGAGCTCTTTGGCTCAGGAACCTTTGGAAGAAAAGGATCTGAAGTGAAACCTTGGCAACCATCCATCCCAACAAACCCTTACTTCATTGCACTTTGCACTGAAATACAGAGCCATCTGCCCTGAGACTCAGAGACATGAGGGACAAGCTTTCTGCTTGAGTGAATGTGGAAAACAGGGTGAGAATTTTTAGTGAGGAGAAGAGGTTTCAGAAGTTTGCCTCTGGAGAAGACCTGCCTTTGGAAATAACCAAACTTTTCTCAGTCTATTACTTCCAGGAACTGGAAACAGATTATTGTCTGTATTGCATGCATAAGCAGAATCTGCGCTGTGCACTCCAAAGTCTTGTCCAGCCTACTAATTTGCCAGCCTGAGAGAACCATGTGAGGCAGAGGGAGAAGAGTTGTATCACAGTGAACTCCTCAGGATTGCCCAAATCCTTTTTCTACAATAGGCTTTTCATAAGACTTCATGGGAGCACCTGGGTGGCTCAGTCGGTTAAGTGTCCAACTTTAGCTCAGGTCATGATCTCACAGTTTATGGGTTTGAGCCCCACGGGACCCTGCACTGATAGCTCAGGGTCTGGAGCCTGCTACAGATTCTCTGTATATGTGTCTCTCTCTGCCCCCTCCCTCTCAAAAATAAATAAACATTAAAAATTTTAATTATAAGACTTCATGATTGTTAGGTCTTCAAGCTTTTTAAAATGATGACATACATTTGTCACTATTAGGTTTCTGGGAGGTTTGCTTTGTTATTTCGATTTCTGTGACTTGACTTCAATTTTACTCTAATCTCTGAAAGGCCAGCGTTTGAGTGACACACACTGGTTTTTATTGCTGTTTTATTTTCCTTTTAAGCAGTCACAATGCTGAGAAATTTTTCCTCAAATCTGAAATGGGACAGCAGTTATAAGAATGTTCTTAGGTTTCGTTTATTGTTCTAGAAGTTAATGAGTCTATTGGTATTTATGTGAATGCTGTAGGGTTCTATTAATGCTGTGGGCTTGAAGAATGTTGTAATAACCCACTGAAGGAAATTCTGTCTGAAATAATTCTCCAGGTCTGAGTGCAGTGCTGTTACGGTTGTTTTGTTTTCTGCAAGTTGTGTTCAGACTCTCTTGTCTTTTCTCTCGATATCTGTATGCGTGCGTGCAGGTGTATGTATATGTCTGTGTCTTTTAGTATGTATCTTAACCAGTTTTAAACCAGGAAGAATATATTCCTAAGTCAGTTTAAATAACAGCATGTCTGCATATATAAAACACTCATTGGTTAAATATAATGGGCACATTGTTAACTCATTTTTAGTATGTATACCTTTATTCCATTGGAGTCAAACAAGTGGAAATACTGTCCTATATCAAGAAGGTTGAAAAGTTGGTCATCCCTATCCATTTAAAATCATATAACCCCAAATCCACACATTCACACACCACTCTACTAATTTTACTTTGTTTTTTTAAATAGTTTATTGTCAGATTGGTTTCCATAGAACACCCAGTGCTCATCCCAACAACTGCCCTCTTCCATGCCCATTACCCCTCTTCCCCTCTCCCCAACCCCCATCAGACCTCAGTTTGTTCTCGGCTTTCAAGAGTCTCTCATGGTTTTCCTCCCTTCCTCTCCCCCACTATTTTTCCCCTTCTTCTCCCCCATGGTCCTCCGTTAAGTTCCTCCTAATCCTCCTATACGTGCAAACATATCGTATCTGTCCTTCTCTGCCTGACTTATTTCGCTCAGCATAACACCCTCAAGTTCCACTACCCTACTAATTTTAAAAGGCCAGCTTTTTCACCCAGTCATCTAGAAGTTTGTGAAGTGTTACCCCATGACAAGTTCACCTGCTATGGAACAGGCTCATTGGGTTTCTGCCTCCTTCGTCTGATTCTCCCTCTTTTAGAGCACCAGGGGTGAGGCACATCTCCTGTGTATCCACATTTCCTTTCTTCATTTCTCTCATCCCATACTGCCACCAGGAGAGGCTGCTGTGATTTTTTCCTCCTAGAAAATAAGAAGGATTTATTATTCAAAGCCAATTGACTTTTTAAAAAAGCCAATTGACTTTTTTTTAAATCTATAGGTAAAGATTTGGCCCTAGGAAGAGGGATTATTACATGCATATGATGTCGTGACTTAAGGTTTCTTTAGAATCTTATACTTTCCTTCCTTCTTCTTCTTCTTTTAAATAAACCAAACCAAACAGGTATTCCTGGAGGACCTCTGAATGGAAAGAATGCCAAGTCTCTCTTCTCCTCGAGCAGCAGGACCCCTACTGGCATGTGATGGGACCCATTTGTGGAGGTGGGATCCAGACCCGGGAGGTGTACTGTGCCCAGAGCACGCCAGCATCCACCGCACAGAGGGCCAAGGAAGGTAGGCAGCAAATTCCAGGGACAGATGGTGCAGCTGATTGGCAAGGAAATCAACTCTAAAGTCATCTCTGCATATTCTTCTTGACATAATGGACCCTCAGCACTCACAGATTTAATATTTGTTTTGTTGAGAATTTGTAAACCAGTCCTAGGTTCTGCTACTTATAATAAGTGGCAATAGTTAAACCTAATAGCAATAATAACGTTAGCCTCAAAAGATCATTGTGAAAATTAAATCAGTGCATACATCTAAGAGCTGTAGCAAAAATGAATTGGTACAAGCTAAGGGGCTGGTAGGCTGGAGTGAGTAACTGGTTATGAATTAGTAGCATTCTTTTTTCTTTATCCTACCAAGAGTGCTGTTTTTGTGAATTTGTGAATGTGGGAGTTTCTACAGGCCTATCACTTTCAGACATCCAGGATCCCTTATTTTACTGGCGTATTTTAAATAACATGAATATGAGTAGAAGAAGGAGACAGAGGAGGAGAGAAAACAACCTTCTCCATTGTAGGCTCTGACAGGCATGCACAACCTCAGCAATAGTCCATTTGTTTTAGAGCTTGAGGCAAGGATCACATACAGGGACTGAAAAACCAGCTCAGGTTTATTTCAGTCCATTGATTGAAAAGCTGAAGTGAGCAGGAATGCTTCCGCTCTAGAAGAACGCGTGGCATCACAGCCACATTGGAGGACATGGCAGTGTCCTCCACAGAAGTAGTTGAGGTGGGAATGTTTTCTTGAGTGTTCACAGAAATTCCCTACTTGTAGAAGTCAAGATATATGCTTTCTGGGCATGGAAATGCATCCATTTTACCCTATAATGTTTTTCATACCAGGTACATTGTGTGTGTGTGTGTGTGTGTGTGTGTGTGTGTGTGTGTGTGACATAGCCTCTTGACATTCTAAAGGCAGCTATGACCATAACCTTGGATAATTTAACTTCTCACTTCCAGATGGATTCTTTACAGAATCATTAGAGTTTGCCTCAGTAATTAAAATTACAGAATCACATTCACAGAGCTAGAATTATTTTAAAAACAGTAAATAAATTTTCTTCCTTATCTAATGTCACTTTTAGAAAGTGACGATTTACACACACTTTGTGTTCCAGGGTAGAACGTGACAATACTTACTTTTGTGACTTTGGAAGAACAGAATTTAGATAAAGAGCTCTAGATTATTCTTTAAAACCTTGGTAATTCTTTGGCCCACCTTCTCTTTTCTTGTCATTTAGTGTTGTCTATAGCACTAGGGTTTTCAAGGGTCAGAGAGTGTGTTAAGGACACGATATAACTTACTACTTACCTTGGTGGTCATTAACAAAGGCTTTATTTTGCTTTTGTATAGAAGTGAATGAGAGACATTGCTAAGCTATTACTTTCCTTTCTTATAAATGCCTTAATTTCCTACTGTTATCATTTATAGATATACCTTGAGACCTCTGGCAACATAAGAATTTCTTCTTGGTTCAAGTTAAACACAAGAGAATAACTAAATTGCTCTTTATGAGACCAATGAGTGTGTTTGCCCAATGAAAGAGGCCAAATTTAAGTATTGCTAACCTTTTCTGCTAATGCAATCATAAAGGCCAAAATTGGTGACAGTATTTTGCATTTCAGTTTCTGTGAACATCAGCTTTTTTTTTTTAATTTTTGTTGGATTGTAGAGGGAAAAGGAACTTTAATAGCATTGATTTTGGAAACTCTTTTCTCAGTGACAATTACTTTCCCATAGGTTAATTTTTCTTTAAACTCTAGGATACTCTGTTCAGTCTTTGAACTGAAATTGCTTGACTTACCGTCCCTACAAAATCCCACCATCTACTATGAGTTAGTTGTTCTGCATTTCGATAACCTGATCTTAGGGGAACACAACCCTCGGGGAAATACCAGCAATGAGTAAAAACAAACAAACAAAACCACACCAAAATAAACAACAACTAAAAATCATCAGCCCACAAACCAAGACCCATTTCCACTGATCTCTCATGCAATAGAATGAAATCAAATCTAGATTACAGAATAAAAAAAAAAAAAAAGCTAATTCTCTCCCACAAGGCCTCCTAGTTTCTTGTGTACGCTGGATGCTGAGGCTAAATTCTGACTTTGATGCAGATCTGTTGGTGACTTCTTAGTGATGTCCCATTCCCCATTTGACCTCAATTCATGGTGGTTATAGAAATGACATAGTATCTATGGCATATTTCCCTGGTTCTTTTGTTCAGTGTTCATGTGATGTTTTAAATGCAGCCAAAATAGTGCTATAACAATCAATATGAGAAGCATTACCTGTAATAATAGCCAAGCCAATAGAATTGGGAATGAAAATGTAGAAGAATATTTATGATTTTGTTTACCAGTTATTATTGTGGAGAGAATTGTGCTTTTCTTTTATAATTCAGAAATACTAGCAAGAGTGATGCTTATCTGTAAATCTAAAAGTTTGGTTTAGAGAGAGCATTTTCTTCTTGTGCTTTTCTGAAATGAAATTAAAGCCACTCAGCCTGCATTCAAGCATTGTTTCTTAAGAGATAAAACATTGAGATAAAGAACACACCTTCAAAATCTAATAAAGACTGGGACATAGTTATTTTCCGTTCATGAAAACATGGCCTAGAGACTGAGATATCAACAAATATGGAGTGAAATGGTACAGAGATAGAATGTATTTATATGGCAAAGAAAAAATACCCCCTCCAAAAAAATTAAGTAAAAATTGGAGAAAGGTATTGGTATGGTCATAGTTGAGAAGAACACTCCCTGAATTTTTTTCTTATTTAAGATTTATTATTTGGCATTAAATGGACACAACTCTTTTAAGAATGGGACATCAGTTGTGTCCTCCACTACAGTGAGATTAAATAGTTCTTGAAAGTCTTATGTATTTATCAATTTGGGTCCAGAGTTGACATAAGGAAGTATATGGTCAGAACAGGGAATTTATCCTAAAATGCCAAGTAGTATGTAGCAATTTAGTGTATTTTGGGTCTCAGTAACAAATGGAGACTTAACTGTTTGAGTTGCAGGCTTTAATTTTCAACTGTATAGAATTTTGACAAGCCACATAAATGTTGTTCCAAGCTTCCAGATTGTTATATTGTTTTTAAATATATTGATTAGGTGAGTAAAGAGTAGATGAAAAATCACACTTTTTTTTTCCAAAAAGTAATTTGTTAAGTACCATGTTTTAGGCTATGTACAAGACACTCATATGATGGTGCTTCTCATTACTTTACAGGTTTTTTTTTTTTTTTTAAATTGGAACAACAGTTGAACTGAGAATTATGCTATAGTGTTGTAAGTAATGTTATATATATATATATATAGCATATATATATATATAGGCCATAGGAGAAGTGTGTTTATGGCATTTTCTCTTTCTTCATGCTAAAAGAAAAGCAGAGATAACTGGATGAAATAATCTTCATTAGTTAACAACAGGCTATTTGATGGAAGTTCACATGAGACAAAAAGAAGATAATTGGCCTATAGATATTGGCCATCTATCTATCTATCTGTATATATATAATGGATAAAACCATTCAGTGATGTGTGAGAACCCTGAGGTTTTCATAAAGGAGGTAATACTCAAAGAGAGTCTGTGGGATCATTGGGAGCGCTGTGAGTGAGGGCCGAGGGAACATATGGGAAGGAACAGAGACATTTGTGTTCAGTGGTAGCATGTGAATTGGTGTGAGGGGAGCATAGGGAATCAGAACTTGACAGTGACCCTGAAAACCTAGGCCTTTGGGGCTGTTCTAGAGTTAAGACTTTGTTTTTGAGAATGCGGATACAGCTTTTCTTTCCCTACTACAGGTTTTTAAGCAGAGAAGAAGTATCATATTCTTAGCTGTATAGAAGAATATATGAATGTCAGTATACCAAGAGAATTCTCAGAAGTGCTCATCTCCTACTTACAAACTTATTTGATTATCCAAGAAGTTTTTGAGATATGAACTAAAGTAATTTACATTATAAACAGATGAATAGATTTCATAAGGGTCAGTTGAAGGAATTATCTATTCCACCATCATTTGAAGGCCTAGAAATGTCCTTTACATGTCTTTAGAAATTGGTTTTAAAGTCAATAAGCTCATTTGGGTTTGAGAATAAAGTTTAAGGAAAAGATGCACTTAGAACTACCTTTAGTGTTGACTGTTAGGGGAGAAGTGTGTTTATGGCATTTTCTCTTTCTTCATGCTAAAAGAAAAGCAGAGATAACTGGATGAAATAATCTTCATTAGTTAACAACAGGCTATTTGATGGAAGTTCACATGAGACAAAAAGATAGAAGACAATTGGCCTATAATCGTTATACTTTGAAAAAAAAATCCTCAATGTTGGGGTTATGGGTATAGGAGAAAATCAGTATATGTATACTTCAAATATATATGTATATCTCAAATATTCTCTCTAAATATTTTCCCCAAAGGTGTGAAAACCGAGAAAAGTTTAGAAAAATAATATTAGATATTTAAAGGCAATTAGGTGACCAGGAGTCTAAATTGAGATTGATTTTTACCTGTTCTGTTTCATTGCTTGTGTATCTCAGTTTAGTGATTTTTTTTAATCAAGTATAACAAACTTATCCTACTGTGATTTAGCAAATGTTTATTGAATTACTGTACTTAGCAAAAATATTGAAGGTTCTTACTTTAGTACTCATGAAATTATCAGGCTGTTCTTGACATTAAAAATGTCTTAATTTGTTTATTAGCTCAAGGTATAATTCACATGATTGAAATAGGAATATGATATTTCCAATTCTCTTACCAGTGATATTTCGGTGTGCCAGTACTGTTGTACTAAGCCCACACCCTTGTCACAACACATCATTTTTTGCCTGATATTATTGTCTTTGTCACTCATTAGTCTATAAAGCCCTTGAAGGCCATTCTTAGGGTCCCACTTTGTATTCCCAAGTGCCAGTGCCCGTCATGTAAATGGAAAATTGCAAATGTATGTGGAATTCAAAATGAAAAGTTCATCAAGTGAGAGAGT